GTGAGCTTGGTCTTTTTTCTTTTCCTTCATCTGGTCGTTTCAGATCCTCTGCAGCCGTGGGCGGCAGCTGAGGGGGGTGCTGGTGCAACTGCTGTGGGTGCCATGGGGTTTCTGGGCTGCCTGCTTGCTGTGCCCTCTGGTCCTGCTCACACTCAGAAATGCCCCTCTGCCCTCTCACTGGGGGTTGTTGCTGATCTGCTCAATCTTATGATTTGGTGGTTCTGCCAGGACTCAGTTCATGATGGTAGTTTTGGCCGGATGGTCACTTGACGTCCCGTGCTGAAGTTCTGTCTGTTCTTGGGCCCAGAAGCATTGCAGAAGCTGTTTTTCAAAAGGCTTTTAGTTCTCTGTCCCAGAGGGCCTGGCCTCGCTCCAAAGCTGCCAGGCTCTGCATTGTGATTCTCCCACTGGGACTGGCCACAGACTCCACAAGGCATCTTCCCACCACTGATACCTCCACCACCACAGGATCTACTGGACCACATGGCCCGAGTGGCACAGGTGCTGGTGGTGACAGCGGGGCCTGCTTCAGAGGCCTTTCCTGTTGTCCAGTGTACAGGCTTGACACAGCCCAGCCAGCCTTTCCCACCTCCCTGGTGACACGATGCCCAGATGGAAGGGGGTGAACACGTAATTTTTAAATCTCCTCTACCCACGTGCTCAGTCCTCAGAAGCTTGTTAACCCCTTACAACTCCCCTGTGGAGCAAGGCTCAGCCTCCTTGTCTCACAGGTGAGGAAACTGAGGCACCCAGAGGTGAAGAGACTTGTTAAAAAATGCCCCACAGTGTGAGACAGAACCAACAAGAATACTTACCAGGTGCCTCAGACTAGGCAAGAGAGTCTTTCAGAAACAGGGCAAGTGGAGCAGAGAACAGTAAAGCAGGATAGTAGGTGCCTGTGATGGTTAGTTTCGTGTGTCAACCTGCCTGGGCTAAGGGATGTCCGGACAGCTGGTAAAACATTTCTGGGTGCGTGTGTGTGAAGGTATTCCCAAAGGAGACTAGCACCTGCATCAGTAGACTGAGTGAAGGAGATCACCATCACTAATGTGACACCCTCCAGTCTGCTGAGGGTGTAAATGGGGAAAAAAAATAATATATATATATAATATAGAGAGAGAGAGAGAGAGAGAGAGAGTTGGCTCACGTGACTATGAAGGCTGAGAAGTCCTAAGACCTGCAGTCAGCAAGCTGGAGACCTAGGAGAAAGATGATGTAATTCCAGTCTGAAGGCCAGCAAGCTTGATACCCAGGAGAAGCCAATATTTCAGTTTGAATCCAAAGGCAGAAAAAATGGGCATCCCAGCTCAAAAACAGTCAGGCAGGAGGAGTTCACTCTCATTTGCAGGAGGGTCAGCCTTTTTGTTCTATTCGGGCCTTCAACTGACTAGATGAGGCCCACCCACATCGGGAGGACCATCCACTTTATTCAGCCTAAGAATTCAAATGTTCATCTCATCCAGAAACAGCCTTACAGACACACCCAGAAGAATATTTGACCAAATGTCTGGGTACCCCATGGCACAGTCAAGCTGACACGGAAAACTGACCATCACAGCTGCAGACGCTGCAGGTCCATGACAAGGTTCTGAAACCACCGCTGCAGAATGTCTGCCTCCTTCTGTAGTGGGGTCAGACCGTTATCCCCACTTCTAGCAGCATCCTAACAACCTAGAGGGGCACACCTTTGACCCCAGGGCAGGAGTCGCAGTGGTGACCAAGCTGGACCTGCTTGCAGGCCGGGGGATGTGGAGAGGCCTTGGCCGAGTGGCAGGAACCGTGCACTGCCAGTTACAGGGCCCACACAGGCTGCTCCACCTGCCTGGGCTTGAGCTCCTTTTAGGGTTCACAGATAAAGCACAGCACATACTTACACTAAAAAGTATTGTTGTTTATCTGAAGTTCAAATTTCACAAGACATTTTCTTTTCTATTGTAGTTTACTTTTTGCTAAATTTGGAACCCCAGTTTCTTTCTTTGTGAAGTGGGGTACCACCAAAGTCACAGGGGTGTGAGAAGGCATCAGGTGGGCTGTCCAGACAGGGCGTGAAGACTGCTTCTGGCCCAGGCCACCAGAGGGGAGCAGACCCTTCCCCTGGGTTGGAGGGGGCCCAGCCTCCAAACCTGGACCAGGGCTGGGGGTGGAGGTAGTGGGGGGATGGGGATAATGAGTCAGCCGGAGGGAAGGGTAGCGGACGTCATGGCTCAAGTTAACCACAGAAGGCTGTCCCTCTCAGACCAGCCTTGACACCATCAGTAAACAGGAAGTTCCCTCCAGCCACAGGCTCACGAATCTTGTTACCAGGGTTACAAGATTCTAAACCAGGATTCGAGTCACTGGTGCTTGTGTTTGGCAACCCCAAGCTGGATCACCAAGCTTCCCTCCCAGAAGTGCCTCTGGTTTTCTAGCTCCCAGGCCAGAGGAGGCCCCTATACCCAGTCCCCTCCCTGTGCTAGGGCCTGGACCAGAGAGAGAACTCCAAACCTGGCTTGGCAAGAGGAAGAGCTTCCCCTCAGGCTGTCGAGGTGTCCAGGAGTCCAGGAGTGGGTGAGGTCCTGGGTGAGTGGACGCCGCAGCCCCAGATGCTCAGTTTGCTGGCAGTCTCATGGCTGCTTTATTGGGTGTCAGCATCTCTGTGTCCTCCATGGCTCCAAGGTAGTGAGAAGGACAGGGTCTCAGGGGACAACAGCAAGGTCAGGTGTGCAGACGTCCCTCATGGCCAGCACCAGCACTTGGTACCAGAAAAGGGCAGCTCGGGGCAGGAGTCATCCCTGAGGCAGGTCAGAAATAAGACTCCAGGCCCTGGGAGGTGGGGCCCAGCAGGCAGGTGAGCTATGGTGCCAAGGCATCCAGACATCCTTGCTGCCTTCCAATGACATCCCTAAGGACCGACCCAGGGCCAGGACTCAGTGTGGCAGGTTAGGAGCGGGGGCTTCTCTAAGGACAAGGGGTGGCAAATGCACCCTTAAACAACAAGGGAGCTGGCTATCCTCTGAGTACCCTGACTGACATGGATCAAGCCCCTCCCCCAATATTAAGGCAAAGATTCTTTAAGAACTTCTCTGTGCAATGCACTCTTGTTCTTCAGCGTAGGGACATGAGTATTGTGACTCACATGCAGGAAGTGTGCACATGTGTATAAGTGATGAATGGTGGGGAACACTTTTAGAACAAACCCAGTAGATTTCTATGAGGTTGGTCATTGCTTCAAACAGCTTATTTGTGGCATCAAAAACTTCTGTCTTCACTACTCTCATTCATGCTCATGGCTTCAATTCCTACCTTTATTTCTGAACATGTATCTCTAGCCTTGACTTGGTTTTTGAGCTCCAGATCCACAAACCCCCTAACTTTCCTCACAGGAACCTCCTGCAGCATTTCAAACTGAACAAAATAAAACACCTCCCTCTTCTCCAAACCTCTCCTCCCCTCTTCCCTATTTCTATGAATGATAACACGTCCACCAAGGCACACAGGCGCGAACCCTGAGTCCTAGCTGACGTCTTCTCCTCCTCACCTGCAACCAGGAAGACCAGGCTGGTCCTCCTTGCTGTGTGTCCCAGGTCCTTCGTGCCTCTCATAAACACTGCCACCCTCTACCCCAGGTCCCCTCTATAGTCACTCTCTTCCTCATTCCTTACAGCCCAAGGAGCTAGATTCATCTTCCAAAGCACCACTCTCCTCCCCAAAGCTGCAGGTTAACTCAAGCCCCGATGCCTCACTCGGGGCCCCCTATTATCTGAGCCAAACTGCCCTCACAGCCTCACTTGGCCCCATGGACTTCCTGGGCCGCCCAGTCGGGCCCCACCACACCCCCAGAGCAGGCGGGCCGGGGCACGTTCCCAGCACTGCGCTTGAAACAGCTGATGGAGACTGTACAACTGCCCGGTTGCCCATAGAGATGGGGTGGAATCCCTCCCTGTCTGAGGTTCCCACTCAAGAGGCCCCTCTCTGGGCTGCGATGATTAACAGTCAGGAGTGGCGCCAGGATCAATGACTCGCAGACAGAGCTGGGGCTCCTGGAGCAGGGTCAGCGGACAAAGGCAGTTACTTGGGTTCACCCGGCCTCACAGGGCCTGTGCCTCACAAGATCCCCGATCCCCGGGGCCTGTGGGAGGGCCCGGGACACGCCTGCGCCCAGTGAGAAGGGAGGCTGAGGCCGGGCTCTTCCTTCTCTGCCAAGTGGCTATCTTCCTACCTGGTTCTTGTCTCACCATCTAAGTACTTCTCTGCCTTTTGTCTCTGACCGGATCACCTGGCATTGGTGACATACCAATCAGAGCACCTCTAACGGGACACTAGCTCTAAAGATGCTGTTTACTCTTATATTCAGAAATTCACCTTTTTTTTACTGCTAAGTTGTGGGTTTTATTCATTTATTTTTATTTTACAGGGAGTGGATAATTAGGTTTTTATTTATTTATTTTAGCGGAGGTACTGGGGATTGAACCCAGGACCTCGTGCATGCTAAGCACACAGTCTACCACTGAGCTATGCCCTCCCCACCATGTTACAGTTTTAAGATAGCTTTGTTTCTGACTTTTTTTCTGAAGGACCCAAAGAAGACTTTGGACTAAAGCAATAAAATTCTGACCTCTTAAAAAATGTATATAATATCACATAATTTTCCACATTTAAAAATTGCATAGTATTTTTTATTTTAAAGTTAAAAGCATATCAACACAAATGAGCTTATTTACAAAACAGACTGACTCACAGACACAGAAAACAATCTTAACGATTACCGGGGGTGGGTGAGGGGAAGGGGGTGGGAAGGGGTAAACTGGGAATTCAAGATTTGCAGACACTAACTACTATATATAAAATAGATAAACAAATTTATACTGTATAGTAGAGAAAATTATATTCAGTGTCTTCTAGTAACCTATAATGAAAAAGAATATGAAAATGAATATATGTATGTATATGAATAATTGAAACATTATGCTGTATACCAGAAATTAACACAACATTGTAAGCTGACTATACTTCAGTTTAAAAAAAATTAAAAGCATAAGTATACAAATATAAACTTTAGTCTATAAAAAAGATGTTTCCTAAGGGCATGTATTTCCGAGATGGTAGAGCAAAAGGAAGCCCATGGGAAGTGCTCTGTATTTATCGCAGCCGTTTCCATATCGGAAAGCTGAGAGAGCAAAGCCCTGGGCGGGCATCCTAGGTCCAGTTTCAGGAGAAGAGATGCAGCGCTCTCTGCCGCTCCTCTTGGAGTCACCTCTCCCCACGCACTTAGGTGCAACAGTCATTTCTTCCTGTCCCTCTTTCCTACCTGGGCAGCCAGATATCTCTGCCCCCTTGACGCTCTTTAGTTCTGTAACCGCATGAGCCTTCTGGGATCTGCTCTAACTTTTCTTCCTTTCTTTAAGAAATTTGACTGTCCTCCCTTTTACCCAAAGCCACAAAACCCCTCCTTCCCAGGGATATGTCTCTTGTTTCTTTCCCTGTTCAAGCAAGTTGGCAGCTTTAAACATTAACTAAAGGATCACGTCTTCCCAAACAAGTTTTGTCAGACCAAAGCTTTTCTAGTTGCAAGAAATAAGGACGTGTTCAAACCCACTTTAGCCCAAACTGGAAATTTATTATAAGGTATCAGGTTGCCCCAGACAATCACAAAGCAGGAAGGACAGTCAGATGGCAGTTAGACCACAGAAATAAAAGTCCAGAACTGAAAAACAGCCAAGGATTAAGGCTACTGCCCTCTCAGGCTTTCCCCCCAACTCCTGATGACCACACAATTTCTCAGCACCACCTCACTGTGTATCTTCTTCGTTCTTCTCTCCGTGGTGGCTTTCTCTACTTCTCTGCTCACATGATGGAAGATGGCCCACAGAGATCCCAAGATTTACAATTCCTCAGCTCAAGCAACCATCAGAATTCTAATCCCAAAATTCCAAAAGAAGAAAACATTTGTTAAGATGCCCACCTGGAATATGACATAGATGTGACCCAGGGAGGCAGTCATGTAATACAAGTGTGGCTATGAGATCCACCTGTGTTGAAGGAACAGTTCCTAAAGAAGATGCTGTCCTGGGCAGATAACCCCAAACTTGGCAATAGCTGTGTCATAGCAATTTAGAAACTTAGTATAATTATGCATAGTCAATCCAGAGAAGTTGGCAAGGCCACTTGTGTGGGGACAGAGGTGTCTACAGCAAAGAGGGCAGTGTGGACCTGTTCAGTCCTTCAGTCAGCATTTTTAGTGGTTGGAACAACTTCCAGGAGCAGCTGGAGATGCAGGGTAGCCACTTGTAAACACTTGGGTTGGCACCGGAAGTAGACAAACAGGAAATAGACCAGGAAGCCACTGAGCAGGAACAGGAGGACGTACAGGAAATCTGTCTGAGGTTGGTCAATGATGGGTGCTAGCACCAGGTAGAGGGAGGCAGGGAGCATGATGGCAGGGATGATGGTGGGGACCTGCCGTGGACACAGAGACCTGGATGATGAAGAGGGTCATAGGAGGTGGTATATGACCCCTGGGCTCTGTCCCTCCTGCTTGCCTTCCTGTCACTTCCACCTGCCACCAGCTCCTCTCTTCCGGTCCCTGCTGTGATACCTTGCCAGGCAAGGGGAGACACCTGCTGGGCCACAGGGGGCCCTCCAAGGAGCAGAGGCTTTGGGACCCAGCCTGATCCACTCTGTGTTACATGACTCCCGCTGTGTGCATATGTCCTCTCTTCATTCATCTCCTGTTGCTCTCCCTCAGGTTCCTCCAGAGGAGAAATGAGGCCCCAGCAAGCAGAGTAGACGCCTTGTGATTCCGCTGTCCCTCCCCCCCGGGACATACAGAAATTATCTCCCAAATACGACAGTGGTCACCCCTTACATTCTTCCTCTGGGCCCTGAATGAGGCTGTGGTCCAATGATCCGCCTCATGCCACAGCCTTGAGTTGTACACGCCTCGTATGTATCCCAAAGTCTACCTTGTAAGGTCGGGGAAGACTCTTCTTCTTCATCCGCAAGTACAGGAGACAGCTAATGGTGGTTCCGTAGGTGAGCCAGGAAAGGAAGCTGAAAGGCAGACACTAGCTGCTTACTGCCAGGCTCGGCCACAGGTGGGAGGGCAAGAGTGGCTGGCCTATAGTTGCAACCCGGGGCCAAGCTGCACCCTCGTCCAGGGTCTTTCAACCACCCCCAGCTCCCCTTACCTGTGCAGACTAAGGAAAGAAGGCAAGGCTGGGCTGCTGGGGACAAGGATGCACAGGGGCGGTGCACAGTGGCCCGTTCCTGCCTCTGTCTTCAGATACAAAGTGGCACATGTACAAGCCTCTCACCCACGTGGCACCAGATCAGGCCTTCTCTGACGGCCCCTGGCTGGACAATTTTCAAAGGGGAGGAGGAGAATCTGTGTTCCTCAAAGAAAGAGGCTGGTAGAATCTCAAGGAAGGCTGAGCTCTCCTCAGAGACCAGCACACTCATAGCAGACCCGCCCCACCCCACCCCCAACTTGAGAGCTGTGACATGAGTGCACCACTGGGCACCCAGACAAACCCCTGGCCTCTGCCTCCCCTAAGGGCTGATGTAGGTCTGATGAAAACTCCATGTGACCTTAGAGGCAAGGTTCAGACCAGGTCGTCTCTTGAGTTGGTCAAGACCAGGAGATATTGGGTCCTGGCTGAGCGGAATCATCCCAGAATTCTCATTCTGTACCGGGACATTCTCAGTCAGGATCCCTGTCTCAGGCTAAATCCCCTAGAGACACCCTGGATTTGATTTTATTCACACCGTGTATTGATTTCATTCTTTCTCATGGGAAAAAAATAAAAGAAAAACCATGTCTGTTACGTAATGTTCTGAAGAAAGGCACATGGAGCGCTGTACATCCTATTCCAGAAGACTAACTACACTTAAGACAACAAAGCAGGAGAACATGTGATGCTTGAAAAATCATTCTAAGCACCCTCTCTGCCCCAGACATTATGCCTGCCTGTTAAGGATCTGCCCGTTGAATGAGGTTATAAAATGACAATTGTCATGGATGTCACAACAGCCCATCATTTCTGCCCCAGAGAAGGTGATAAAGAGGGTTACAACATCTCCGCCCTTTGATGCAGTCACTGATTGTGCCCACACAGCTTGGTTGTGGGTCCACCCTCAATTGGGTTCTGTGGGGTCAGATCGAGAATGCAGACCAGACTACAAGGGAAAAACTACACCAAGCCCAGGGCTACAAGAGGTGTGAGTAAAGCCTGAATATATCCTTTCACGTCATCTTAGGGACAGAGTAAAGGGACATGAAAAAAGAAAAAACTGACAAAGACAACACAAACCTTTAATTTGTCTCTCTCTGTGGTGAGAAATTGTCTCACTGAATTTTTGGAAACAGGACAAGAGAGGAGGAAACCACATTTAATTCTGGAACAACAACTGAGAGAGAATGGCTGAAACCGGTGTGCATGTGCAGGATCCCTGAGCCTGGGCTTCCAGAAGTGTGTATGTGTGTGTGTGTGTGTGTGTACATTCATAGGAGCTTCTAGAAATGTGTGTGCATATGTGATTATATGTATGTGCATATGTGTGAGTGTGCACACATTGGGGACTTCTAGAAGTGTGCACATGGTAAGTGGGTACACATAGGGGCCATGAGATACTCAGCCTGGGAGGGCAGCCTCACTTGCCTCAAGAAGTTCACGATGGGGCTGAAGCTTCCCAGGATGACCAGGACCAAAGCCACCATGGTGGTGAACAGCAGGGCTGGAGCTGGTGTGAGGCGGTGCACATGAACCATAGACAGAAGTCGGGGCTGGGAAGCAAAGCCAGCTGTCAGGCAGCCCCCAGGGGGGATTGAAGTGGGTATCTGTCCCCAGAAGCTCCCACCCTCTTCCCTTGCCAAACTCTGGACACTAGTGTACCCAGCCTAACAGTCCCCAGTTCCCATGGCTTCCAGATGTAGGCCACCATGACTCACCGGGGGTGACTAGGCTCAGAGTGCAGGTTGGGGACCCATCCCTCCAGGCCAGCCAAGACCCAAAAGCTTAGGATGTGGGGTTAAGAGAGTGTGGAGGGTTGTAGCAGATGCCTGGCCGAATCTTTCAGCTTTTTATTGCTCATTCCCAAGACAGGAAGAGGGATTTGCAGGGGGGCGATGGAGACAGAGGAAGTTGGGGAAGAGGCCGGGGCAGGTATGGGTGGAGCATGCAGAGGGATATTGCGTTACTGTGCACAGTGTTATCATTCAGCAAACACCCAGTCCCCCTCTCCCCACTTCTGTGGGAGAAATACAGCTTCCATCCACTGATGCTGGACTTGCCAGCGAAGTGTGAGCAGGAGCAACCCAGCAGATCTAAATATGTGTAGTGGTCTGGCTGGGTCTCTTGAACTCCTGCCACCTGGTCTGGCAAAAGCATGCCCCAGGAGCCGCTTTGGCCTGGGTCCCTGAGATACGCACAGACTCACAGTCAGACTGAGAAGATCCAAACAGGAGCCCCAGCCTGGGGCAGAGCCATGGCTGACCCACCGATGCATGAGCAACATGAAATGTTTGCTGCCGTAAGCCACCGAGGTTGGGGGTTGTCTACCACTCAGCGTTCTTGCAGCAAAAGCTGACAGAGTGGCCCCGGGGGAGGGCCCAGAGTACACACTGGCTCTGCTCCTGTGGTTCCTTCCCGCTGCCCCCACACCACCGGCGTGCGCAAACGTTCTCATCACCTCCAGCCTCCTCAGTGTGACCCATTAGGGTGATCTCCCAGAACCTGGATGTAAAGGGGCTGGCGTTTAAATGGGGAGGTATGAGATGCTTGAGTCCCACTCTCAGGAGAGGGCTGTGTCTTTAGGGCAAGTCCTGGTTTGCTCTGAATGCTAAGCCTCCGGCCGGAGAAGTCCCTCCAGCACCCCCCTTGCCCAGCCCAGACCCCATCTCACCATGTGGCCCTCTCTCGCAGCCACATAGCACACACGGCTTCCGCTGAAGAACGTCCCGTTGGCAGAGCCGAACGTGGAGAGTGCGACAGCCAAGGGCACCAGCCAGGCCCAGGCCCCCAGAACCTGGTTCCTAGGACAACAGAGGGATCAAGGGCAGGATCTCTTGGCAACAACCTGGAAGACGGACTCAGGAGCCCACTCAGAAATGGAGCAAGCCAGACCCAGGGGCAGGTTGAAACACTCATGGGGCACCAGCCTTCCCTAGGGCCGTGAACACGTCACATGACTCACTCACCCCCAGCTCACGGCCATAGCATCAGAGGAAAGGATCTCGCGGGGCGACAACACTAGCAGGTAACTGATGTTGACCAGGATGTACAAGCCAGTAACAAGGGGGATGGCAATCATCAGCGCCCACACCAAGTTCTGCTGCAGAGTCAGGGAGAAAAGGCCACATGTTAGCAAGTGAGGTCCTTTCCAGGCCCCCAGAACAAGCTCAGCAGTGCAGCACCGAGCTTATCCTGGCCACAGGGCATGTGCCAAGCCAGGGGCCACTCAGGCCCTGTGCAACCTCCTCCATGAGCTCCGAGTCTCACGGCACAGACACACCAAGGGGCAGATGCGCTGGGAGGCCGTGAAGGGCACTGACAGTCAGAGCAGTGGAGGTTCAGAGGGCTGACAGGGTGGAGAGGGGAGAGGAGACACCGGCAGAGCCTCCGGAATGAGCAGGGCCTTATGCTGCGTTCTCCTTGAAGAATGGAGGCGAATCAGGCTGGTGGAATAGGGAGGCGTGCCCACCAGGGGCAACCACAAGAGCACAGGCGAGGAGAAGAGACAGGAAAGTTACAGCTCTCCAAAGTCAGCTGATAGCTCCAGCTAATATTCCAGGACCCACCACGCCAACCCTGCCTAGTTTCTGTGTCCCTGGGACACAGGCCATTACACCAGGGATTCTCTTCTGATCCTCAGTCTCCTCAAGTGGAAACTGGGGATCACTGGGGGAACTGGGGATCATTGGAGATCACTGGGGATCACTGGGGATCTGTGAAATGGGGCTTCCCCACTGCTCTGCCTCTCTGCAGGGTGTAAGGATCAGCAGACAGGAAGGGAAAGGAAGGGCTTGGACACAGGGACTGTGGGTACTTGGACTGGTTTGCACTGTTGGAGCCTCAGCACCCAGCCAACCACTGGTCACCCCCCAAAAATGTATTGAGCAGGCATTCAATAAAAATTGAGGAGTGATAAATTGGGAGGTTGAGATGCATAGATACTACCTACTGTATATAAAATAGATAAACAACAGATTTCTACTGTATAGCACAGGGAACTATATTCAATATCTTGTAATAACCTATAATGAAAAAGAGTATGAAAATGAATATATGTATGTATATCCATGACTGAAACATTACACTGTACACCAGAAATTGACACAACATTGTAAACTGACTATACTTCAATTAAAAAATTAAAACAAAAACAAAAATTAAATTAAGTTAAATTTAAAAATTGAGGAATGGATGAAAACTGGGTGAAATCAGAGTGTAGAATACACCCTCCTACTCTGCACCCCTACGTCTGGACATCATTCTGGAGCCAAGAGCAAACAGAGGGAAGGGGCCTCCCTCTGGAACTTTACCCAACACTCCCCAGGCTCAGGCAAGCCGTGGGTAGACATCTTTAGACTTCAAAGTAAGAACATACCTTAAAGTAAAAGAAGCGTGTCCACAGCACTCCTGGGTCTCCTGGACAGCTAGATGCCATTGGCTTACCTTGGTAAGGGTTGGCAAGCACTGATGAAATCAGAGCCTCTCCCCTAAGTACCAACAGTTACCCCAGAGCATGGCACTGCTGTTCCTGACACTTACAACGTAACATGAAACAAAACAGAGAAGAGGTCCTACCTTACCAAGATGCAGGGAGCGCGCTTTCAACGTAGCACAGAGCGGTCCCTGTGGGGCTGCACCACAGTCCCAGGCAGACCTCCCCTACCAACTAGATAGGACCCTCCCCCATTTAAGCATCTGCCCCTGAGAAGCGTATCTTCTGTTCTCCAATATTATATAAAAAGCAGTTTCTAGAGCTTTCTGCCAGGGCTGAGTTCTGCCCACAGAAAAATTTGAAGGTGGATCTGCAGGGGAGGGTAGGGGGCATTGAGGATGGAGAAGTAATCTCAGGGCCCGCTTCCAGTCCTTGTGATCAGCCTGGGTGCTACGTCTGTCCTCAAACACCCCCTCTCCCTTATTTTTTTCTTGAGACACAAACATGCCCTGTTCTGTCTGGTTCAGGTTCCTACTGCTTCTACATGGCTATTCTGCCAAAAACATCAGTCCTTTGAGGTTCAGCCCCAGCCCTCCTCTTCCAGGAAGCCGCCCTGACTACTCTGCCTCATGGGAGCTCCCTTTTCTGAGCTCCAGCAGCAAGTGGGAGCAGTGCCCCAGCAAGCACACCTGCTTTACTCTATCCAAGCCTCTGTCCTGTCTCGTTTTGTCCTGTACTCCAAGGGCAAAGGCCAGGAATGGTGATCAATTCATCCCAGTTTGCCTGGGTCTTTCCAGCTCTAAACACTAAAAGTCCAACATCCCTGGGAATCCCTCAGTCCTGGGCCACCAGGATGGTTGGTCACCCAACCTAGCAGGTCACGTAGCAAAGTTGTGATAGTGACGCAAATAGGACAGCAATGGATTCTCGTGTGAGATGGGTTCTCTCAGGTCCCTTCCAGGTCCAAAATCTGGGAATCTGAAGGCAAAGAAAATTGCCCCAATCATAGTAACAAATTCCTCATCACTGCAGTCTGCATGACCCAGCCCACGCCAAGTCAGAGGGAAGAAGCCTTGTGTGCCACTGAACTTGCCTCAGCTTGGACAGCCCACCTGCCAGCTAATGAGCTGTGACAGCTACAGAGGCATGAGTTGTGCCCCAAACAGGTTTCTGGCCAAGACACCATAAGAACAGTGAGATTTCCTGGTTTCATTCTCAAGTACCTTAACTCTCCACTCAAATCCCAGGGCATATAGGCATAAGGCTGGCCCGAATTTGGCAGAGGCTCTGTAGTTTCTTGAAAAAAGAGTGTGGAACAAACAAAGATACACCTACCATGTGCTTCAGAGGGCAGAGGTAGAGGCAGAATTTTAAATGCTAGCCTTCAGAGGAGTGGTTTTGTTTTTGCTTTAAAATCCACATTTGTCCAAAATGTTCAATATACAGCAAACTATGGCCTGTGGACCAAATCCAGCCAATTTGTTTTTGTAAATAAAACTTATCCAGATACAGCCCCACTCATTTGTTTACTTATGGCTGTTATCATGCTGCAACTGAGTTGAGTAGCCATGACAGAGACCGTGTGGCCTTCAAAGCCTAAAATATCAAGTCTCTGATCCTCTGTAGGAAAAGTTGGCCGATCCCTGCTCTAGAGCATGGGTGCTCATCTTTGGGCCCCTTACTTTTTCCCTGGACAGCTCTGAGCCCAGGGCCTGAGGGCAGAGAGAAAGGAGCCTAGCCTCCATCACCTAGGTGAGCTCTGCAACCCCTACTCCACCCCAGAGCCAACCTGAGTGCACCTTATCATTCACCTAACATTGCAACTGTACAGCTGTTGATAGCACTTGGAGCCCGAGCCATCCCCCACAGGTGATTATACCGTTTGGTACCCCAAAGCCCTGTGAAGTAGGCAGGCCAGCCCATTTTTATAGGCAAAGAATTGAGGCATAAGGAATTACACGCAAGAATAAAAACCAGGTACCAGGACTCCCGTCTCTCTCTGCTCTTAAACTTTAGTCTCCAAGCTCCTCCTCTCCTCCCAACTTCTCCCAAACCCCGCTCCAGGGAGCCTTTGCTGAGACGCTGAGAGAGGTAATGACCCTTAAGCCAGCCCTGAGACAAAGAGAAAAACACTTGCAGTTTTCATTCTATGAGAATTTAAAACTCCTGCAGGGGCAGAAGAAAACAAATAGCATCGTAGGCAAATAGATTGATAGCAAAGAGTCCATAGTAACTGTAGAGTCTGCACGTTTCATATGCCTCCCAGGGAGCCCTGCAGATCCATCCCCACCTCCAAGGGCAATGACTAGCCAGCCCCAGGTTCACAGGTGGGTTGAGCCAGGCAAGACTGGCCCGTTCTTCTGTCCCAAACCATGATGCCATGTCTTGTAGTGGCTCCCACACTTTGGCAAGTGTGAATTAAGTTGCATCTACCACAGTGTTCCAGAGAGAGCAGTCCAGGAGAAAGCAAGCTGAGTGTCGTCAAGCATGGCCTCTTACTAGTGGTATGATCTCCAAGTCACTTCCCCTTTATGAACCTTGGTTTTTCCACATGAAAAATGGGATGACAATGCCTACCTCCCAGGGCAACAAAATGAGACCATAGGTATGACACTGTAAAGTCCTCTGCTTACTTGAGAAGTTATTATTCATATAATTACATAAACTTATCAGGATAGATAGTGGGCTGGCATTTAAGTCCCATGAGTACAGGAAGGGAGCCCTGTCATCAGCCAATTTCTCAGGGTCTTAGCTCAAATAACAATCATTGGAACTGGTGCTGTTCAGAGATTTCACCCCCTAAAGCAGTATCATGGACTCACATTTGGATTCTTGAGTTCCTCCATCACACAGTTGAGGCTGTTCCAGCCATCAAAGGACCACAGGCCCTGGTAGAAGGCCATGCCGATGTGCCCGGCCTGCTGCGATGTGTTGTGGAAGGCGAATAGAAGGGCTTGCATGCGGCCACGGCCCTGGCCCAGCACCACGGCGCCACCACCCACGATGACCAGCAAGGAGAGCACCTTGGTGATCGTGCACACGTTCATCAGCATGGTAGCCATCCTCGAGCTCCAGTAGTTGACCAGCATCAGCAGCAGGATGCAGGTGGAAGCCACACCCTTGAGCACAGCCTGGGGCAGTGAGGAGCAGCCCGGGTAAAGGGGGACCGTGACATACTCGGCAAAGCTCAGAGAGATGGCAGCGATGGCAGCTGGTCTGCCCACCAGCACAAACGTGTAGATGACCAGGAAGGCTGGTAAAGACCCAAAGGTTCGTAGGATGTAGGCATATTCCCCTCCAGACTCGGGAACCAGGGTCCCCAGTTCAGCATAGCACAGGGCACCCAGGGTGGCCAGAAGGCCACAGAGTGCCCAGACCACAAGACTGGCCCCGGGGCTGCCCATGTAGACCAAGACCCCCTGTGGAGACATGAAGATGCCAGAGCCGATCATACAGCCAGCAATCAGGGACACAGCGCTCCACAGGCCCATGTCCCTCCTCAGCCGCAGCCCCCCACCACCCGGCTCCTGCCCGGCCACCCCCTCACCGCCATCTCCTTGCTGACTTCCCTCCATCTCAGGACTTCAACAGTCACTGTATCTAACTGGGCAGAAGCAGATGCTCCAATACCTATCAGGCTCGTGGGCTTCCTGCGAGAGTTAATGATTACAGTGCCTGAGGGAGTCTGAGCCAGGGGCCAGAGAGCCAAGACATGACACGTAGAAGGGACCAGCCCTTTATGATCTACCAGCCCCTCTTCAACCAGGCCTCAGGACGGGCAGGTTGCAGGAGTTATTTGCTGATGCAGCTCAGGAAAGGTCAAGGAAAGAGGGGTTTTAGCAGACATCCCTGTTGCCCAATTCCATAGCAACACATGTGTAGAGTAACGGCAGGATGAGTGCTCTGTGCCGAGAGTCTGACTGCTGAGTAATGGCACATCAGAAGCCTAAGAGATCTCCGCAACAGTTATATCAGCCAAGCAACACAATCCCTTTTCTATCAGGATTCCAATTAAAACTGCATGAGCCCTACTCTAAAGAACCAGGGTGATCAAAGAAAAGGGTCAAATAGTTCAGGACAGAACTTGTTCCCCTGGCAGGAAGGGAGCAGGTGGTTAAGAGTACAGGGTCCAGAATGGAACTGCCTGTGTTCAGATCCCAGGTCTAGTCCCTCATGGTTGTGTCACCTCACACAAGGTCTCTGAACCTCATCCTATTCATCTGTCGACTGATTACAATACCCTCCACACAGGGATGCGCTAAGGATTAAATCACATAGCCCATTCGAAGTAGCCAGAATAGTATATGACATGCAGTAAGCTTTCCTTACACGTTAGCCATTTTTATCTGGCTAAGAGTTTCTTTAGTTCAGAGAAATAAAGAAGAGATAGGGTTAGAGAGAGAGAAGCATATATTTGATTTAACACAATTTTATTGATTTATGGATAATACTCATTTCAGAATATGGTATATCACTTTTTTATTGATTTTCATTTATGTTTTTTCAAATGTTATGTTACAGAATCCTTACTAGTATGGATCCATCAGACTCAGTGGCATTTGGGGTAAAAATGCTGGCACCTAAAGTGGTCAGAAAGGTACTTGCAGTCTCTTGAATAGACTGGCCTAGCTCAAGCCAGCCACATGGGCTCCTTGGATCTCAAGTACATGTGTAATCAACAAAACTCCTGGCAGGCGCAAAGGGCTTTGTTCCTGGGGTGTCATCCTGCCTCCTCCCCTTGCTACACTAAAGCCCACTGGGCATCAGTCCTCAGAAAATGTAAGACCATCTTCTTCAGAAAAATCTCTAGAGAAGAGGCCCTCCAAGATTCAAAAGGCGATTCTCCAACATTCCTTCCCAGCACGAAGAGAAGGAAGAGGGCAGAGAAGTAGATTTAAAAAAAAAAAAAAGTTGATAGAAGAATTGGATGGAAATAAGATAAGAAAGGAGTGCTGGAGGCTAGGGAAAGAAAATCAGCTGCCTTTTGGGTAGTAGCTAAGTAGTAACTAAGACACTCAAATTCCTTTCTCTCCAGGGGCTGTTGCTGGTGGATGTTGTGAAAGTTAGCCACTGCAGAGTTTGAGAACAGTCCACAAGACCATGGTCACCTCTGACACCAGTAGTCTGGAAGTTCCCAAGACCACCTTTGGTTTCAAAAATTGCTTGAAGGACTCACAGAACTCACCAAAACCTTTCATACTCAAGTTAGGTTTTACTGCATCAAAAGGATACAGATTAAAGTCAGCCATGGGAGGCAGGACACGAGGAAGAATCCAAGAGGGTCCAAACACAGAGCTCCAAGCCCTCCTCTCCCTGTGGAGTCTGAACATTGTTATTCTTCTGGCATCAATGCATGACAACACACTCATTGCACTGCCAACCAGAGAAACCTTCATGTCCCCTCTTCCTGGGGTTCTACCACTTAGACATGGTTGACTGCTTATGTGGCTGATCTCAGTTTCCAGCCCCTTAGGAGGTCGAGCTGATGTTTCTTGAACCACAGCCCCGTCCAAAACCACATTGTTATTATCTGGCTGGCCCAAGGCTCCCAGGCAAAAAAAGACACTCTGATCAAGCATGACATTCCAAGGGCTGAGCAGTTACCTCCCAGAAGCTGAGGGCAAGGGTCAGATCTCTCTTGGGGCAATGTTAAATTCTTTACTACACACCTGTGACCTGAAGAACATTGTGAGAACATAAATATTGTTTTTAAAGACTCATCTTCTCAAGCAGTGTATTGAAAGAGGAGGACTTTGAATGCCAGGCTAAGAAGCTGGGACCAGCTGGGAACGGGAAGGAAGAAGGAGACAAATGGAAGTGAGAGTGGGAAAGGTCTTTCCTGGATGGGGGATTGGATACTCTGAGGTTATGTGGTTCTCTGAGGTTCTGCTTCAATTAGCAATTCCCACAGCCTTTCCAGAATCTGACACAGCGTGGCCTTCAGCTCTAGGGTCAGGTTTGCCTGGGAGAAGGGACCCCTTGAAGCAGAGCCAAGCTCAGATGGCATCCCTGTGCTGCCACCACAGGTGGACAAGGTAGCTGACGTGACCCAGTCTGAGGCTTAGCAGAATGCATGCAGCAGGAAGAAATTCGGCATCCAAGAACCAGAGATCTGTGTTTCCTAGCACTGTGCTTTCAACAGGATCTTCATGGGCTCAACTTCCCACCAGTAAAATGGGGCTGATGACCCTCCCACAAAAGTGTTCATGAGAATAAACCCGAACCCTTTCTAGCCCATCATCCTGTGGAGATGAATGAAGTTATTATGTTAATGGCAAAAACTCACATTTCCTGCTCTTGCCCCCACTGATCATGCATGATCTCCAGGCCCCTGCAAAGTCTCCTCAAGAGCCTCAGGGAATTCTCCAGAAACCTCACCTGTGCTCAAAAGCAGCCTTCCAGCCTCTGTCTATAGATGGTCTCCACTCTGTTCTTTCTCCCTCCTGCTCCAATGCTCCCTGTCAGGACCTGGTATCAAGTGTCAGCAACTTTCTGTAAAGGGCCAGATAGAAAGTATTTGAAGCTTTGCAGGATATTGCAGTCCTGATCTCAGTTTCTCAACTCCACCACTGTAGCAAGGGAGCAGCCATAGTCAACATATCAACCAGTGAGTGTGGCTGTGTTCCAATAAAACTTTATTTATGAACAATGACATTTTAATTTCATATCATTTTCACACGCCACAAAATATTATTCTTTCAATTTTTTCCCACCTTTTAAAAATATAAAAACCATTCTTAGCTAATAGGCCATAAAAAAAATAGGCAGCAGGCCATGTTTGTCTCATAGGCTTCAGCTTGCCAAGCACTGCCCTATGCTCATAACACTCCAGTGAGGGCACGTTATTCCTGTGCAAATGCCAAGGGCGCTGCCTCCAATGTTTCCAAAGCTTCCAGGAGGAGGTGCTGGGACCTGTGCAGAAAGAGAGGAAGTCCCCTTCCCCCAACTTTATGAAAACTCTGTCATCTCAACCTGGAAGCTTCGCTTGCCCATAAGTAATTAAAGAGTAACCACATAATAAGGTCACATTTTCATAATACCCAAAGCTGACTGAGTCCCCTCTTATAACCCCAACTAGGGGTAGATCCAGGTTTTGTGGAGCTTGAAACATAAAAAATTGGGGGGCCCTCTTTAATTTACAGTGGAGACAGCAATGTCAATGGTGGAGTAAGGAACTCCAAAATCTGCCCTTTCCTACACACAATGAAAAAACTAACAACCAAAAAAATTGTTAGAATCAAGTTTTTCAGAATTCTGTAAAATCCAAAAGTTTACGAGAATCAGGGGAGTGCTTAAACAAGAAAGATTGCTGAGTCCTGGGAAGAACAGAGAGCTTGGTGAACTGCCTAGCTGAATATTGAAGGAGTGCCTCCAGCACGTACTGAGAGACCATCTGCAAAGACTAGATGTTTGGCATCAGGCATTGAAGGAAATCTCTGTCAGATCATTAGCTGGCTATTAAGCTAATAGAACAGAGACCTGAGGGGCCACACACAACCAAAGAGACATTACAAAATCAGTTCAGAAAAGTCACTAAACAAATAACAACTCCTACAAGCAGCAATCAAAAAACCCTAGAAAAGGGGAGGAAATCTGATTTCCAGAGTTGGCACCTTACAATATTTTAAATGTCCAGGGACGGCTGGTATAGCTCAGTGGTAGAGTGCATGCTTAGCCGGCACTAGGTCCTGGGTTCAATACCCAGTACCTCCTTTAAAATAAATAAACAAACTTCATTACCTCCCCCCTCAAAACAAAACAAACAAAAAAGTAATAAAAATAACAAAAAATTATTTTAATGTCCAGTTTTCAATTAAAAACTGATGAGGCATATACTCAGAGGGAACTCTAATTTGTAAAGATATATGCACCCCAGTGTTCATATCAGCACTATTTACAATAGCCAAGACATGGAAATCACCTAAATGTCCATTGATAGATGAATGGATAAAGCAGTTGTGGTATATTTATACAATGGAATGCTACTCAGCCATAAAAAAATAGTAAAATAATACCATTTGCAGAAATATGGATGGACCTGGAGATCATCAGTCTAAGTAAAGTAAACCAGAAAGAGAAAAAAAAACCATATGATATCGCTTATATATGGAATCTTAAAAAAAAAAAGACACAAATGAACTTATGTACAGAACAGAAACAGTCTTACAGACATAGAAAACAAACTTATGGTTACCAGGGGGCAAAGGGGGTGGGAAGGGATAAATTGAGAGTTCGAGATTTGCAGATACTAACTACTATATATAAAATAGATAAACAACAACTTTATACTGTAAGCACAGGGAATTACATTCAATATCTTATAGTAATCTATAATGCAAAAGAATATGAAAATGAATATACGTATGTTCATGTATGACTGAGGCACTATGCTGTACACCAGGAATTGACACATTATAAACTGACTATACTTCAATAAAAAAAATATATATATACGAAAAAAATAAAGTTATGTAATAAAATTTTTTAAATTCATTTTAAAAACTTTATTGAAGTGTAGTTGATGTACCATGTTAGTTTCAGGTGTACAGCAAAGTGATGCAGTTATACATATACA